TGTAGTGGCTTATAGTCTTGCCAGCATTTTCCTCAGTCTTTCCAGGTCTTGAGTTGGACAGGTCACTGCCTAAATACCACACCCTAAGGCTCTTTGATTTCGTTGCTCTGTTAATTTTTTCAGGTGGGATAATTGTATTTTTTTTTTTTTTTCAAAAGTCTTTATCTTTCTGAGATAGATACTAAATATTTGTAGATGGAATGAATTAGGGGAAAAAAGGATAGGGTAGAATTTTTTTAAATCCCAAAACTTTGCTGAAAAATGAAAGGAAAAGACAGCAGAACCCAGAAGTGCAGAAACAGATGCAGTTAATGGAGAACAGATTTTCTTATGTGACTGAGGGATAACCACAGCTGGACACTTGTGGGACACGCAGTCCTGCTCCCATGTAGTGTTAGAGGTCTGAGCTGACTCTGCTGCAGAGCCTGATGGGCTTCTTAGCCCTTTCCAGAATCTGCTTCTCTGTCTTAGAGTTCAGGCCTCTGTATCTCTCCTCTGGACCTGGGCTTTACTGGTCTGACTCTTGGGGACTTCTCTAACTCTCCTCCATGAGTATCCCCTGATCTCCTCTCCTGGGTGAGGAGGCGTCTGAACATCTGGCTTCAGGGCTTCCACAGCTTCTGAAAATTGCTTTTCATTGTCTGGTTTGGTTTGGTAAAACCTGTTTTAAGTTCTTGCTTTTGTAGAGGTTTGAGTTTTTTATCAATAGCTCCAGGCTAGAATCTGGGCCTAGTCTCTGTATTATAATACCACCCACTTTCAACAGCTAGAAGAAGCCTCAGGCTCTTCCTTTTCTTAAGCCCTACCTCTCTGTCAGACCACCCACCGAGTTTCTGTTCTTTGATGCCTGTAGCTACAGCTTGCATAAGACTTGCAGAGTAGTAATAGGAAGAGTTAACACTTTTTGTGGGTTTGCCAAGCACCAGACACACTACTAAATGCTGTCTGTTAAAACATATATAGCATCATCCTGTTGCCATCAGACAACTCCGGTGGCTCTTATTCTGAGATTAAAACAAGAGCAATCTAAGGCTCAGAGAGACTTAAGTAACTTTCTTTCTTATTTTTTTGAGATGGAGCTTTGCTCTTGTTGTCCAGGCTGTAGTGCAATGGCATGATCTCTGCTCACCACAACCTCCACCTCCCAGGTTCAAGCAATTCTCTTGCCTCAGCCTCCCAAGTAGCTGGGATTACAGGCATGTGCCTTCACGCCTGGCTAAATTTTTTTGTATTCTTAGTAGAGACGGGGTTTCTCCATGTTGGTCAGGCTGGTCTCGAACTCCAGACCTCAGGTAATCCACCTGCCTCGGCCTCCAACCGTGCTGGGATTACTAAGTAACTCTCTGAACATCAGAGTTAAATATCAGGGCTGAGATTCAACCTGAGTCTGACTCCACACCTTTAACCGTCGTACGCTTAGAAGTAACTGAGACGTTGCTCACCAAGCAGATAAGGCTTTTCCTGGCTTAGTTCCTCAGCTTCTCTTTGATGACTTTCTCAATTCTCTCTGTCCCAGAGAATACTTCTTAAAAAAGAAAAAAACCAGTATTGAGTACCTATTGGGCCCTGTCTAGCTTTCCTATCCCTTCTTTCACTATGGGTTTATATTACCACATCATTCTTCTTAAAATTAAAACTCTCCTTTACCTAGTACTTAGAAGAAAATCCAAATTTTGGAATGTGGCTTAAAAAGGTCCTGCATGCTAGCCCTTACCTACATCCAGGATCTCATCTCTACTCTCCTCCATGCACAGTGCCCCAGCTGCCCTGGCCTCCTTGTTCTTACCGGAATATATCAGTCTCTTTCCATTTCATGACCTTTGTACTTGGTTTTCTTGCGTCTTGGAATGGCCTTCCTGAAGTCTTTGCCTAGCCAGCTCCTCCTCAGACTGTAGGTCTTATGTGCATAAGGTGTTATGTCCCTAATATTCGTCTCTGAAATTTTACCCTTTTCCTCCCATCGCCTTCAGTCATATCACTTCATTTTATTAATTGTATTCTCCATCATCTGAAATTATCATATTTATTTGCTTTGTCAGTTATTCATCCATTTATTAGGTAAGCTTTTTTAATAGACAAACCTTGTCTGGCTTGTTATTCTCTACTGTATTGCTAAGGTTTATGACAGTGTCCGTACAGAGTAGTTCCTTAATGTTTATTTGATACATGAATGGGTGAATAGCAGTCTCTACCAAAAACAGGAGGCGTGGTTCTCAATGGGCCTGAGAAATGCCTTTGGAAGAGGGTGCTGGGAGAAGATTGGAACTTGGAGTGACATCTTGACCTCTCTCCCTTTGCTTTGCAGGCCAGAGGCACCCAATGAGTTCTATGATGGAGACCATGACAACGACAAGGAAAGTGATGTGGAGATTTAAGAGCGGCTTGGGATGCTGTGCCCCAAGGGATTTCTTTTCGCCTCCTGGTTGGGCTGGAGGGAAAAGGAGTAGCTCCTACAGTCCTGGAGTGGTCACGCCAGGGCTTTTGCTGACTCTGGGAAAGAGTCTGGAGACCACATTTGGTTCTCGAACCATCAACCCCATTTCCTCTCTCTCCCAAGGCCTGACAATGGTACCTATTAGGGATGAGATATGGACAAGGATAGCTATCTGGGACATTATTGGCAGTGGGCCCTGGAGGCCAGTCCCTAGCCCCTCTTGCCTCTTATTCCTTCCCTGTTTCCCTCCAACCCAGAGATTTTGAGGGATGAATGGTAGACAGGGACTGAGATTGCCCTGGACTTCCTCCTCCTCTTGCTTCCAGGGAAGGTGAAGAGAGAGGGATTTGGCAGGAGCTCTGGCTCCCTAACACCTGATTCTCAGATGATGGGAAGTATGTTTTCAAGTGTGGGGAGGATATGAAAATGTCCTGTTCTCACTTTTGGCTTTATGTCCATTTTGCCACTGTTTTTATCCAATAAACTAAGTATTTTTTGTACCTTTTGCCTTTCTAGGAATGTTAATTCTTTCTAGTTTCCTATTTATGAAGGGAGAGGGAAACGAACGTGATGATGCATGTAATAAAAGCATAGCTAATATTCATTCAGCACTTACCCTATGTTAGGCCCTGAGTATGTATTCTATTTTGATTATTACATATATAAGGAGTCAATAGAGCATTTTGGTTAAGAGTTGGACAAACCTGGGCAGATTGAGAGAAGTAGATGACTTTGATTTTGAATCTAGTTGTTGAGAGTAGTGATGCTAGTTGGTGAAGATACACGGAGATAAAACATGTAAGTGCTTAGCACAGTGCCTGACATAAGAAGTTGCCCATTACCTATGTGAACAACAATGCTAAGTACTGTTAGTAGCCACAAACATGGACCTTTCTCTGGAAGAGTTTACAATCCAGTCAGTAGTATGATAAATATTATAGCAGATATGGACTGGCATAAGAAAGAGGGGTGATCATTGGATCACTTTCTTCCCTCCATCTTCTGATTCTGTCTGTTCTCAACACTAGCTTTGAAAGTGTTGAGAATTTTTTGGACAAAAGGTCTGGAAAGCTCAGCACTAAGTCAAGTTTGAAGTATGGGATGGACAGCTCTATGTAACATTCTATCAGGTCACCGTTAGAAGCTCTGGACCACAAGAGAGATGAATGCCAAATTTAGGAGACAGCCAGTTTGGCAGAGTCCCTGGTATATCTCAGGCCCCCTTTTTTTTTTTTTTGAGACGGAGTTTCACTCCTGTTACCCAGGCTAGAGTGCAATGGCGCAATCTCG